TGAGAACAAATAATCCAGTGTTCTTTATTTAGATTTGGTCTAAGTCTAAGTTTGTATTATTTAATACCGATGTGGAACGGATTGCCTCTTCTAACTCGGTCATTCTTTTTAACATGTAATAGGTGAAGTTCTACCTAGTTTCCACGTCTTGGATTGGCCGTTTGGGAACTTTGTTATGTTGTAATTAATACTTTAAAAGCCTTTCTGAAGATAAGGTTCTTTTTTAAATGTGTTTTTTGCAGAATTGTCGAAAAAAGGACTTTTTATTTTATTTATTATCAAATCACTTTTGATATAACATTTCTGAAGTAATGAACCTGACAGTGTTTCTTGTTGGCGGTTTATATCCAGGAATCCACCCTGCAAACTTTTGAAAAGCTAGTTCTTCACCTATGGAAAACGGATGAAACGAGTCTTTGCATAAGTTTAGTAAATCTTGAAAATCAACCAGTACAAGAAAAAGAAACTGATAAAGATGACTTAAGTCCATGGAGTATTTTTGATGAATTCATTGGACATAACTCATCTAAACATACACCTGTATCGAGAGATATAAAAGAAGTCGACATGTATTTGTCTGATGATATATTACACACAAAAAATTTCGAACGGCGATTGGAACTGTCCATTACCGTGGTGGAAAAAACATCGTATATCCTAACTTAACCACTATATTCACAAAATATTGTAGTATTGTAACAAAATCTTTTCCTTGTGAACACATGTTTAAAATCTGGTTTAATTTTAAATAAAAGAAGAACACGGTTAACAAGAAAAGTGGAAAAACTTGTTTTTAAATGTCAATTTAGACGATTCGCGATTTAATAATGTGTAATGTAAATGTAAGTATTATTTGTATTGTTTAATGAATTTTTCAAGTTATAATAAATATATCCTTCGTTGGGTTCTTTCACTTCAATACTTAAACACAAAAACGATAATAGCCAATATGTTTGTGTACTCGCTAATTTGAATACTGGTAAACAATCCACTAGTTACAGTTTACGAAAAACGGTTCCGATAAAAACTTAAAAAACGAAAGGACCCACCTCTAGTTCTTTAGGTATATTAGGATCGGACCCAGAGAATATGTAAAATACTGTGATCGGAACTATTCGTCTCCCTAATGGGCAATGAGTGTTAAAAATATTTATGGAGGGGAGAGCAAGGGGAAATATGATTGTTAACTTTGTCTATTCGCTAAAAATATGATTTTATATCTGCGTTAGATATCCTGTTAAATTTTACCATACCGACCATAAACTTTTACCTACACTGTATATATATATATATATATATATATATATATATATATATATATATATATATATATATATATATATAAATATTAAGATTATAAGAGACTTAAGAATTTAAAACTCGGCGTTTCGGCACTCATTTTGGAGCCATTAACAAGACATTTTATATAGATAATAATGCGGATATGGTTTCGTTCGAGTTCGGGGTCTCAAAATGCCACTTCCCTCACTCGTAACGTACCAGTATCTTGTTCTGTATAAATACAAGAACCGTCAAACGGTACTGAAGTCTCAATCTGCCTACTCCTCAGTGTCGAGTGACGACCGGTCTCACACTGTGTAGCTGATTTTATACTCTCAATATGCGTGGGGACGGTATGAGCGGAAACGGTCCGGCGGGAGGTCGTCAGACCGTTTTTCTATCTCGCGTATAATTTCTTGACTATTATCTCGAATATAGTCAGTGTTTATTTGGTTAGTCGGTTGTTGACGTTTTATTTTTTTTAGTTTGCATTTTATGTCACTGGTTAATAAGTTATGATCTGAGGCGACATCTGCTCCCTCTTTATATCATCATAAAATTTCTCCATGTTCTCTTCACTACTGCTGTTCTATGACTATTCCAAAAATAAGTAAAACATTCTCAATCCAATTCATGAGTTAATTTTTGTTTTATTTTCCTTTCGTTGCATTAAAATGTAGGCGTAAAGTTTAGCGCCCCCGAAATGTTTGTTTTCATTTCAAGTTTGTGTATGTTACACGAGATACTCAAGATAAAAACTTAAAGAGGATGATCATAGCATCAACTAAAATTATTGTATATTTTACTATTTTGGTATACTCCATTCCACGAATATACGACTGTTTTAAATTCGCTTTAAGGTGTCGACTTAAATGGTCCAATGTGCTGCATTGTACAATAGTAAATTCTCCCCATTTTTAAAATACTGTTTCGACAGATATAAACCTTAGATTTAAATATGAAGTCATGATATAAATATAGAGTTGATAGTTTATATAATAGTTGTAATTCAGAATTTAAATTATATAATTACTATCATTGAGTTTAGTATTTTAAACAAGTTGGTGTTTTAATTAAGTGATTTAAACGAACTGTAACAATACTTAAGTGAATAAATAGTGTACTTTATTTAGTCGAATATTCAATTAGTATTAAGAAAACAAAAAAAACTTACTTATTCTCTTATTCACCTAATCTCCTAAAACTATTATCAACCATCAGATTCACAGTCATAATCATTGTCGTCGCTATCCTCATTTGGATGGTAAATTATAATAGGATTAACTGCTTTGATGCGACCTTAATGGATCCACCATTCTTTAATTAAGTTTTCACATTTTTTTACACTTTTTCCCCAAATTTCAGGAGTGGCAATATCCAATGCTTGTTGCCATGTTTCCAAGACTGCCTCGTCACTGTAACCCTTGTATCCAATATGGTTATCATAATATGTTTTGCAGATCCCCCAAATATATTCAATTGGATTGAATTGGCAATGATAGGGCGGTAGTCTTAACACCCGATGTCCAAAGCTATGTATAATTTCGTCTACTGTATATATATATATATATATATATATATATATATATATATATATATATATATATATATATATATATATATATATATATATATATGTTTGGTTGTGCATGACTTTTAGCTAACGTTAGTAATTGAGGCTTAAAACAGTATTGAGGAAATGTAATAGTTTTATTCGTTAACCATTCTTTTATTTTATCTACAGTCCAGGTGTTTGTTGGTTGCTTATTTAAAATTTCCGAATGATACGCAGCATTATCCAGTACTATAACGGAAGGTTCATGTAAACTTGGCAACAGTTTTTCTTTCAACCATTTAACAAACATGTCCGTATTCATATTGTCATGATAATCGGCTGATTTTGATTGATGAAAACACAAGATCTGCTCCCTCAATAAAACCATATTTTCCACCTGCATGTACTATAATATATCTCTTTCCCTCGTTATCGATGTGTTTTATGGATTTTATACTCTCGTCCTGCCAAATTCGTTTGATACCGCCTTTAGCAAAAATCCATGTTTCGTCTAAATAAACGAAGGAAGAACATTCTTTTTTAAATTTGTTGTAATTTCTTAAAAATTCTCTTCTTTTGTGAACGACACTAGCTCTTTCACACAAAACCTTTCTATTGTCTTCCTTTTTGAACTTAAAGCCAATCTGTCTTAAAACTCTCCAGAGACTTGTTCTGGAAATTTTAAATATATTTCTGTCTTTTAATTTTTGTAGCACTGAATCTAAAGGAACATGTTCTTTCTTTTCGCGCATTTTATATTGTCTCACGGATTTCAAATTTGCAACCTTCGGGAAGATCTATAGTCTTTGGTTGTCGGCGAGATTTATATTGTGCGATATTTTGTTTACTTTGTCCACTTTTTTTTCTTTTTGCAAAACCGACTTTAGTTTTGTTTCACTAATACAGAGTGCATCACACACACGTTTATGTACGGACTGAACAGGTCGCAAAGGGCCCCCGTTGGTTTTCTCAGCAGTAAAATAAGAAAGTACATTAAATATAAACTTGTCTACATCTAAAACACGTCTCGGCATTTTTGGCTTCAATAAACAAATACACTACACTAAACTCTATCTTAACGGACACCTCTCTTCACCGGAAACCTCTATACGGACGGTTTTTAAAACTAAAATCAGTCGGTGATATATGAAACTGTATGTAAATTTTCGTTACTTTTTAATATCTGTAACGACTCGGTACTTTAACTATCAATAGCCGGTATATTATACCCGTTATAAAAAAACTTTCGGAACTTAAGAGTACATCCACTCAAACCAAACAAATATTTAAAACTAACAAAGTGAACTTTCATATAGATTCTATTTCTGGTTTCTGAACCATCGTTCTGCCAATTTCTTTTCATTTATAATAAAAATAGTATATTTATTTTTATTACAGTTCTAGTACCTAATAAAGTAATAAAATACAATATCAAAGAAACCCGGCACGCCTCTTTGCATTTATTTACAAATGTTTACATTTCAAATGTACTTTGTTTACATTACACCGAAATCCAACCCAAATGTCTGATGAACACATTTTCGTAAAAATGAGCGTTTGCGTAAAAATTTTTGTTATTTTCGGATTAAATTTCACAATAAGTTTTGCGTCTATTTGTACATCTATTAACTGAAATGATTTTAGTTCAGATGTAATACTAACAGTAGATGCTTTTTATTGGAATAATAATTAAACCAATTTACTTTCATACTTCTACTTGCACAGTAAAATATTCGCTGTCGCAATAATCCCAAACAGTCGTATATTCGTGGAATAACCTATATACGAACTATTGTATGTTGCGGACAAAGTTAAAATTATTTTTCTACAGATTTTCTACAGCTCATAATTGAGGATAAGATTTAGGGCAAATCTGAACCAGAACAAATATTGTGCTCCTGGCTTAAAAAAATACGAAAATGGACAGGATTGGGCTCTAACGATTTACTGATAAAGATCCAAAATAGAGAATAATTCGCCGATCTTCGATAGGAGAAGGCTCTCGAAGAATAGTAGAATAATATCTCGAATATAAAATCTTAAATATTGGTTTTGGTGTACCACCACTGATATCTATAGTTAGACCTGAAATAAAACCATAAATATATCTCGAATTACGTGGCACATTAAAAATAAGCATTCTCCCAATAATAAACGCACTTACCGCTAACTTCCATTGATCATCAGGAACTTGCATTATTGGAACTTGTATTCTGCATAATGCAGCAAGGGAAGCCGTAAAACTAGATTTTTGACACTCACCACTTACTATTATAAACATGTCTTTTCCTCCTTTTAAATGTAAAATTAAAATATCGTATATTTTTGACAGACTAGTCTCCAACGAGACTTCCAATTTCACATCACATTTTTCTCCTAAAATTAAAACAAAATGCATTAGAGTTACAAAACATTATTCTATATAATATATTTTTTAATATTATATTTTATTGGATGTATTACTACATTATATCATTACATTATGAACATTTCGAAGTCTGAGTAATACCTCTTTACCCTAACTTTATTTTATGTTACGGAATATTTCACATTTTCAGTTATGTTTATTTTCAGTGATAAACTGGAGAATGTGACTATTAGGATATATGTCATGAAATGTGCAGTTCATACTGTAGAATATACCATAAAATTTAGTTTGCAGGATCTCGCCAGACATGTCAATTTTTCTGTACAATATAAAAAATTCTCATAACCTTCAAATCGGTACCCGTCCGGGGCACCTCAGTCGCTAGTACGTAAGCGACCCTGTAAATATAACGAGCTGGCTTTGCGTAGAAAGGCAGAGAAAACACAATCCATTGAAAATAATGTTACAAAAACTTTTATTTAAATTATTTCAAAAATGATCTAAATTCTTACCTGGGTTTATACTGCCGCAGTAAGGTATTATTCTCATCCAATCTTTACAATAACTTGTTTCGTCTAATTTCTTGATAAACTCAAATTCAGCTGGCACCTAAAAAAGTCAAAATTTAGTCTGATTTTTTAATGTATGGATGGAGAATGAATGAATAAAGGTAGTGCTTCGGAAGTGATGTCGGCCTTACAGCGGCCATTCCGCTTCCGGATCGCTGGATGACAGAGGAGGGTCTGGTTTAGCAGGTAGGCGTTCGGCGTAGACTCGGCGACGAGAGGGCATTTTAAAGTACCTCGGGAACTATTGCCGGGAGTACGAAGAACGAATCCTGCTCTAAGGTTAGTCAGGCAGCGTCCTGGACTGAGATGTCTTTTGAAGATTCCAGACCCCCCTCTATAAAGACGAAAAAAAAGTCTGATTTTTTAAAGTTGGTTAAAATTTTCTTTTTAAAGTTTTTTTATTTTATACATGAGATTTTAAAGTCAAATGAGTGCAAAATGCTTCGTTTTTGATGTGCATTCATTAAACCGTTTTCTATGTAATGTCACCTCTATATAACTGTTATACATGTATCAGAATGTCTACATACTAGTTAATATAGTTTAATACTTGCAGTATCAAAAGACAAAGTAGATAATGCCTTAACTATATTTAATAACCAATTGAAAGAATAACAATTCACAGTTGAAATCGAAAAATCAAATTCTCTGGCCTTTCTGGATATGATGATTCATCGCACACAAGATAACGTTCTAAGAACAGAATGGTACATAACACCTATATCAGCAATAGGTTTATTAATTATCATTCTGAACACCCTCCTCGAATGAAGATAAACTTAGTTCTAGGACTAAAAAACACAGTGATATAAGGGAATTAAAAAAAAATATAAATAGAAAATTCATACCCAAAGGATTACTAAACAAACTAATCTCTAAGACTACATGTGATTCCACAACCACAAGTCAAAACCAACAAATTAAACAAACAACATCGACTAACCATTCACTAAACCGTGCAACAACAATCAGTTCAACAATAGAATTACCAACTTTTGGATGATTACTTTTGGATGACTACAATACCTTCCTGATCTAACACCGAAACATAAATTTGTTTAGAGACCAAAGACTAAAACTTCATAATTTACCGTCCAGGAAAGACCATCTCCAATTTATACAGTAAAACTAAGGATCGTTTGACATTAAATGAAATTTCAAAGGTTGTGTATAAAATACCATGCTCAAATTGTGAGAAAATATATGTAGGAGAATAGGGGTCGGCAACTAATTTTGGCTGGGGTCCACACATATTTTAAAATAGATTTAGGGAGGACCAGAAAAAAAAATTTGCGAAACTTCGTTATACGCCTCCATCGAGTTAATCAAATTATCGCGTTAAATTTAAAAAAATTTAAATCAACGTGAAAAATTACACTTGTATTTCCCACTTGAAATGAGGAACACATTCGCAGCAACATCACTCCATTCTCCTGCTGGAGTTAATGCAAAAGGCGCTTTTAAGAATGCCGACAACTTTTGTACAGCTGTAAAGTCTTCAAATCTCCCTGCAAATTTCTTTTTAAGACCTTCAATGAAATCTAAACATATTGAAAAGTCTATTTCTGATTCAGAATTATCCTTGTATTCAAGGGTTGTTGGAAAGTAAATTAGTTCTTGACTTCTGTGACTCTAGTTCCGTCACATCGAGCTTGTGACGGAACGATGACATACTTTGTATCAGATCACATATTAATTTTGCATTTCCTTGTAGTTCGTTATTAAGGACATTTACGTGTTGCAAAATATCTTTCAGAAAAGCCATAGCCACCATACTTCTTTCGTTTGCCAGAAACTCCAAATGCTTGACTATTTAAGTTTTCTAAGAAATTAGTTATTTTTTGTTAGTCAAAAGTAAGTCAAAATGTGTTGAATTACACTCACACATGGAAAAACTTTTAACTGCCTCCTACTGTGTACCAATGATGCGGCCCCATCAGTTGGCAGAGATACCATTTTGTGGTAACTAATGATTGCTTCTGTCATGAACTCATTAACAGTCTGGAATAAATCTTCTCCACGAGTCTGGTCTTTAAACGGCAAGATTGCAAGCAATTCTCCCCTAAATATTTTATTTTCAATATCATAAAATCTCACATAAATAGATCTTTGCTCGTCGTCAACAATATCACATGATTCATCAAGTGTTATGGATGTAGCAAGGCGCCATTTGCAGAACTTTGAGCAAACCCCTTGTATTGTCTGCAGCCAATATTTCGGTTCTTTTTGTATTGCTTTTTGTCTACAATGGAATACCTCGAATTGCGGCATCCTTTTATCTTCAAAAAGTAGCTGCCACCACTCCTAGCATACACTCTTTAACTATTTCAGTATTAAAATGGCTTCTGGTGTTTATTGGGCGTCCAACATACAAGCAAAGCTGCATCTACAAAGACGTAGCAAAAAAAATTTGGGAGGAAATAATCGGAAGAAATTGTGAGATACTTTGAACATGCTTCATTAGTATTAGTGACAGCCTTATTCGAACTTCGATCGAGATCGGCTGTTTTTAAAACTTTTTTCTTTGTTAAACAATAAGTACCCTTATGAAATTCCTATTAAAACATTATTATCTCTAAAGGAAGATTTTAAGCGATACGTTACAAAAATAATAAATTAATCTTTGTGACTATAAAAATATTTCCTATCGAGAATAAACCTGTCATCAAACTAGACCCTGCTCTAAATCAGCCACAAATACTATGTATATCCAATTAAACCAAATACCACATAACACTTCACTTCTATCAGTAAGCTCACATAATATATCAGAACAACCACTTCAAATTAATCAAGATATTCGCTATCAGAAAGAACGAATTTATATAGTTTACTCCAACCCAGGTATTTAATGGAAGATAAATGAACCTTACGGTAGCATTAAAAAATCAGATAGCACATTTTCAAGTGATAGGCAAAACATAACCGTAACTACTAAGTAAAAGCAATTACACAGTGGTGTATACAAACTTAAATGTGGCGAGTGCCCAAAAACTACATCGGTCAAACTGGTAGAACTTTTAACACACGTATAGCAGAACATAAAAAAGCTTTTACTAAAAAAAAAAACAGATTCTACGTAACAACTTCACCTACTACATAATCATTCTTTTAATGACCAATTTCCAATTATTCAAATTCAAAATAAAGGTCTTAAGCTATCTTTATCAGAATACATGAAAATTAACAATTTAAAAAAGATAGATTAAATTAAGACAAACAGTTCTACCTTCCTCAAATTATTCAGCTAATATATAAAGGGTAAATGCAAACCAAAAATAGATCACTTGAGAAGGACACTCTGTCGAAACAGCTGTAGTCATAATAAATTATAATAAATTTTGTAAAAGTGTTGAAAACAAAAGTTTTCGGTGTTTTATTGCTTTTTATTGTGTTTTAAGTGCTTTTTTTACCTACCATTCCAGTATTGGCGATAGTTATTTCTCTAGCTTGCGGTTCTCTAAACTTAATCAAATCGAATACAACTTCTGTTTGATCAACGGTAACTTGTGGTAAGTACTCATTTTCGAACTTGTCCATTTTTTTCAAGAGGTCTTCGTGAATCTTTCTATACTTGATTGGATCTACAACACTAATTTCTGATTTAAAGAGGGCACTTACTGGCTTGTGGTCGCTTATTCGTAGGTCCATGTGACTTCGATACTGCACCTGGTAAATACCTTAAAATCAAAAAACTTTTTAGATACATAAAAATTATTAAAAATAATTAATTTTAAGAAGGCTAAAGGTAAAAATAATCATAAATGAAAATAGAAATCTGATATGAGAAAGAAACATACATATCATAACATCGTTAGTTAAGAGCATGATCATATTAAAACAGTAAAGTATGGCCTATAGCAGATGTAACTGTAAACATATCGAAAGCAATACAGATGACTATTGACAAAGAATATCATACCAAATAAGATACAGACGTAGAAGAAGTAGACGTAGTAGAAGAAGACGAATCAAGTAAGCTTTTTAGGACTCATCTAAAAATGGATTATGCTAAATTCTCGAAAGTGTAACAACTGGGCCAATTGAAAATTGCCTTTACAATAAAATTGCACACTCTTAAAATTATACACGTACATTAACGGTGTCTTGGATATAAACAAAAGTTGGAGAAAGATCGCGAAATAAACGTAACTATAAAACAATGCAAAGTAGAATATCTAGGGCAGGGGTTACCGATTATATTCCCTGAGGGTACGTTTCAAAAACCTACTACACTTCCGCGGTCCAAACACTCAGCACTAAATCAGGCAGTGGAGTAACCGGGGGCTTACCCAGAAACCCCCTGTAGTTGTAACCGCCCTCAGGAGATCATCCTGGTTACGTAGTTGAAATTAGGCAACTAGGCCAGCTCGTTTAAGGAGGGGTATGCTCGCTAAACTCAAGGAAAAAGATGATTATAAAGGTATTATATTGTTCTTCCCGTTTTTATTTTAAAAATATTTTTCCCGTAATTTAAAATATTTCTATCGTAGAAGATAATTTAATCATTTAATGCTACTGCTTCTGGTTTTTTCCTTTCTTCAAATATCTTCTTCTTCTTCTTCTTCGTCTAGCCATTCACGTCCACATCTGAACATAAGCCTCTTCAAGTCTTCCTTTCCATTGTTTTTTATTGTACGCTACTTGTAGCCAATTTTTCCCGGCAGTCCTTTTCAGATCATCTGTCCATCTCATAGGAGTTCTGCCTCTGGGTCTTTTGTGTTGGTATGATCTCCAGGTTAAAATTGATCTGTGCCATTTGTTTAGATCGCTCCTAGCTACATGTCCAGCGTATTCCCATTTCAGCTTTAATGCTTTTTGCACCACCACCTCAAATATAGTGTTTAACAATTTTATGGAAGATTACGAATATTTCTATATGGTATTAGTACTCTGCATTTGAAAAGTGTAAGGATATTTATATATTTAGATTTGATTATAACTTTATTACTATAAACAACAATATAACCATTGAAACCAAACTACAAAGGAAGGTGTACAACCAAGGAGGTCAAGGAATAAGAAAGATACATAATGCCCGGCAGCAGAACCTACAAAAATGGTTCAATCTAACTACTACAGGTTTTTTGGGAATTAGTTAATACAGTCAGAACAGCCGTCTTAGCATGCGACATCTGTAATAAAATCTTTATCTCCGACATTCGTAAGGGAATTGCTACAAGAAAAAGGATGCCAAAGTGCTCCATAGCACCTCAAGTCAATACTGAGCCTCCGCCCTTTGTGTTAATACCTGATGAGAAAGGAACCAACTACACCAAATACAAAAAATTAAATAAGTGACTGGATTGGTCACATAAGGACCCCGAAAAAAGACTGGTAGATCCACGAACTATACAAAAAACACCGTTGCAAAAATAGATACGTTTGAAGTGGATATACAAAACCACCAGAAAACTGCTGGAGCTAAAGCAGACCTGGAGGTAGATTTACTAGTATGTTATAGATTCAAGATAGATGAAAGAGCTGGAGTGAAACTAATTTAGCTGAATATTAGGCTTACAATATTCCTTGGAAACGCGCCATCTATTTTCCAGGGGAAAGACACGTCTGAGACATCAGTGCTTAGGACTGCCTCAGTAAAGAGTTCCTTAAGGCAAAATTAATTTTACATTTTTGCAGAGAGCCATGCAGTTTTAATACATGTTCTGATGTCTTTTACTCTAGAGCAAAAGCTGCTTTGGAAATACAATCTATTAAAAAAATTGCAGGTAATAACAAGGCAACCTCAATGTGCATGCTAGGTCTTAAAAAAGCCAGGAGAATTGAGCAGCCTGACAAATAGGAAAAAAGGAGTAAAATGCACTTACTTAGCACCAGAACCTTTTGTAGATTAACTGAAAATCACACAAAAACGGATTCCGCGCCTGAGAACATAATCAACTATGATCTCACTGAATGTTATTCAGCTAGGATATTGGTCGTCTACCAGTACCCCTTTTTTCCTTCGATTTTGCTCATAATAATTAGCTGCAACAACTACAACTTATCATTTCTAAGTATTTGCTAAAATATGCCGTCTTTCTCTTTTTAATAGTGGTCAATAGTTCTCTGTCTCTTCCCATTCTGTGTATTATAATCATAAGCTCTCTTTCCTTATTCATCCTCCGCAAGACTTCCGCATGGCTCATGTAGGATATTCTGAGCATTTTACGGTAACACCAAAGTTCGAATGCTTGGATTCTTTTTTGTGTTGCTTCTGTCATTGTCCAGGCTTCAACACCATAGAACAAGGTGGAGAAAACATAGCACTTAAGTATCCTAGTTCTCAATGAGATGCCCAGCTGGCGGTTGCATAGAACTTTTTGCATTTTGTAAAACACTGTACATGCCTTTTCCAGGCATATTCTTATCTCTAGTGAGTGGTCTCAAGTTTCATCAAGATTACTTCCAAGGTACGTTGTTCTTGTTACTCTTTCCAGATCTGTTCCGTCGACATTGACCTTTACCCTTCTGTTTTGGTGCTTGCTAATGACCATCGCTTTTGTCTTCTTTGTATTCAATTTCATTCCAAATTCTCTACAGGCTGTCGTTACTCGGTCCATTAAGCGTTGCAGGGCTTCAGCATTATCTGTCAGTATGACAGAGCCATCAGCATATCGCAGGTTATTTATACATTGCCCGTAAAAAGAATATGGCAAAGATTAAAATATCAGAGGAAAAAGCTAGGACTGAGGAGATCTGGGGATACAGTAATGGTTGGCTACGTGAAATTGAAAGACGACCAACGTTTTAACTAGGTATAGTAGTAGGAACCACCCAGTCGTTATTTCTAGTGGAATTCCATATTTTATTTATTTGATTACGGATTATTGGACAAAAATAAATGTCAATGCCTGTTACATAGGCTAATATTTCATTTCAATAATAATATATTAGGTATACTATTTATAAGTATACTTATATCCAAATAAAACAAAAATAAATAAAATATATTGAATATTGGTACTTACAAAAGGAAATTGGAAAAATAAAATTTTTAAACGATGAAAAATATTGAACTACGAAAACGAACTTAATTAAAACCATCCACAGAAACTCGACTGTTAAACTAAACTGTAAATGTTTTCTATCAAAACAAAACATTGTATCGATCTATAACGAAATTTAAATAAAATATTACAATACGGAATATACAATGCGTAATTAATTTGTTCAAACAAGGTGATTAGCCTAACCTCTTCCTCTCCACAGTATCCTGTCAGTCCATGCGGGTGGTCTGGCTTTTTCACTTGTATCAAATGTATCTGTATTTAGATCGTACTTGTAGGTAGGTTGAAAAGCGATGTCCCCTTCTTCATAATCCTAAAAAATATTGATAATTACGAGATTGAATTTAAATATCGCAAATTGTAATAATTTTTCATTCAGGCTGGTTCAAGCAGTCAAGCATAAAATGAAGAATACAAAATATATTTTTAAAGAAAAAAATCGTTTAATTACTATTGTTCTAAAGTTATTTTCTTGTGACATCTTAATACAATTTATAGGTTTAAGTCTAAACAAAATAAGTTTAGTTGACGTTTCCATTTCCATTTCGGAATCTACAGAGTTCATACGTTCGTGGAATATTAGAGGTAACTGTTTGATGGTTATTATTTTACATTATATTAATTTATTATACACCGATCTTTCGAGATCTGTTTCTCTTGTTCTATTCAGAGAACAAAAATAATGAAAACTCAAGGATTAGTACCAAACCACAAATTATTCTTGTTGGTAATAAATAAAATCATAAATAATCTACCTAAAATCTAAACCCTCGATTATTTGCAGCAGATGATTTTGTTGGCTTATTAAAGAAATCATCACTACTACAATGACAAATGCACTGCAGGACTTTTTAAAACAAATGGAAGAGTGATCTTTTGACAATGGACACTTCAGTAATTAAAATATTAGTATTTTTTTAAATAGATCCACGAATATATCCAACATTGAAATTATATAAACATAACACTTCCGTTAAAAACAACACTGAAATTTTTGCGTATGTGGTTTGATCAAAAATGTTTATGGCAGGAACATATAACAAAAATGGTTTTATAGTATTAGCAAGACAAAAAGATTTGACTTTATAAGATACAGAAATTGGGAATCAGATTAAGCCACTCTGTTAAGTACTTTTAAATTACTAATCAGATCTAGAATATACTATGAATGAATACTCCTTCAATGTGTCCGCTACAAAATTGATACTTAAATTACTCGGCATGTTCATAACACAAGTATTAGTATTGCATTCGAAAGTTTTCGAAAAACTCTCATCAAAAAGGTATTATGTATGTGCGCAATCAATACACTTTACTTGTTCTGTGGAACAGATATCACTTCTCTGCTGTTCGTCAACTTCATGAGGTAGAATGTAATGGACACGTTTTTATCGGATGTATTAATAAAGTAAAATATGGTTTACGTGTTTCGTACATATTAGTTATCCATTGCTATGATTTACAATACACATACAATAGAAGAATTATCAATAAAGCAGACTAACGGTTTCTATCTTCCCGAAGCATGTATTTAATTCCATAACACTTTTAATAACAAATGCGCGAAAATATCACTTCGGCAGTGAATATGTCTCACATGAAAGCTTACTTAAATTCAAAATTAAAAATAAATATACGGACTGGACTACAAAATATACAGAAGCATCCACATCCGATCTTGGAATTGGTGGAGCTACAGTAATCCCGAATGAATCCAATCTTAGCTTTCTCCAAATTAAAATATCTGATCTGCAGAAGTTTTAGCAATGCAAAAACATATGCTCTTAAACCCATGTAAACTATTTATTCTAACCATTACATTGAAAAAAGAAAGTTACAATTAATGCAAGCTTAAGAACACTTTAGGAGATCAATTTCCTTTGGGTACCATCACACATAAGCATATGACGTGCATAAGACAATGGTCCAACAGATATTACTGCATATAACGTTATTCTCCACGATGTTAGAGGGGTAGCTAGTGATCTAAGACTTTTTTAAAAAAGTGCTTGGAATCGAGAGTAGTATAATTTCAGTTCTCTTAAGTTCATTAATACTGATATTTTTCCGTCTCAGAGTATTGATATATATATATATATATATATATATATATATATATATATATATACATCCCGCCATCATTTTAAACTCGTTTCACGTTGCAGTAATTTAGCATCACCAAGAAAATCTATTATTTTCTATATATAAGTCGTGTATGTTCGTTTAGTGCACCTCTGTTGGCTTAGCAGCGTTGTCGGTTTTTCAATATTCTGATTTTTTTATATATTTAATTTTTTACATCAATCCTACGTTTTAACATCGATCATTTAAAATCACTGTATTTGCTATCATTTTAAAGCCAATAGATGTTGCCGGTATTAATACTTAAAATAATATCTAGGTACATAAATATCGATCCGTTTTCGGTCAACGTGCTAACGACCTGCTAACACGTTGGGGTCTTAACTGGTTTTTTCTTTGCCTAAATATTAGGTATATTTATTTAAGGTAGATATTTTTCCCAGAGAATTGTGTAGGGGAATATTTTACATATATTTCAATTTACAACCTGTTTAATCCAAGCTATCGGTGAATAGTTTGAGGTAAATATTATGTTTTTATTGGATTACGCCTCAATTATTGGTTGTAATTGTGATAAGAATCACATTTTTAATTAACTTGTGTTTGACATTTTGATTTCCATTCCGGAAATCGTTCTCAAAAACGTTTTTTTGTACAAAATGTGTATACACATTTTAGATAATTTGTACAATAAACAATAAATATTAGTTAAATAAAAATGTAATTAATATTACATTTTTATATACATAATATACATAAAAAAATAATATTTAACTTAACCATGCAACAAGAAAGTATTTCACAGAACCTCGGTAAATAGTTTTCAAAAATCTACGGTTATTTAAATTCTAAATAGTATGAGAGATAGCTGATGAAAATTCGTAAAGATGTACAGTTGATTATGCTTTGTTCTTTTTTTTTAACAATCTTAAAAGATACAAAAAAAATGTTTGCTTGTAAAACGTTTTTTTACATTCTAAAGAAAAATGATTAAATAAAAGTTGTAGACCATAAAAGGTTTTTTATGTTGAGGGATACCAAATTAAAATATATAATTAATTGAGCAAGGTAATTGCCAAAACCCTTAACTCTAAAATATTATGTTTTTAGTAACTTATAAATGGTAATAATTGAATTTTTTGCCCAACGGCAGATAATATAGCTACTTCAAATTATCGCAATTAATGGGTTTTTAAGGTGTGCTAAATATTAAGCAAATCACTTTGAACTTGTCCAAATACTTGTCCAATACTTGTATGTACAAGTATTTTGTAATTTGCAATCTTAATGGCTTATAAGAAAACAAAGAGACAAAAACAGAACCATATTTAACCAATAAGAACTAAGATAACATTTAATTCTTAAAATCATATTTTTATTGTTTATTAATACAAGATCTAAAAATTGAAAGGATTTTGAATTAAGATCTATAATATATGATCGAAGTTATAGATGGCTTACACAGTAAAGGAGTAAAATGTTATAACCCATTAAAATAATGGTATTCGTAAATTACCGCCACGGAAAAGTACCACGGAGGTAAGAACTGACTGAGCTTGTTTTTTTTTTCATATTCGGACTTTAAATTGAAGCACGCTTGCAAAATATTTAATATCTCGGCTTCTGTGGCATGTAGAACCTTTATTTCTTTACTAGGGTAGCTCAACCAAATAATAAGAATTGTGCTATTTTGACCTATCTTACTAAATTTTTCCGTTGAAAGTATGAACTCTTATAAAAGCGAGTTCGATTTACAGAATACACGTGTGTATAGAGAGTACAGAGTGACTATCTGGTCAAGTACAGTCGTTTAGATAATCGCTCTTTGGAATAAACAAATTGGATAACTTTGTGATCTATGTGAAATATACCACACTTTAATATTGTATTCTTCTTCTCTTCTTCAGCCTTCATTTATCCAATGTTGGACATAGGCCTCCTCCAATTGCTTCCACGCTTCCCTATCTTTTGCCATTCTCATCCACTGCTTACCAGCTACAGCAGTTATATCGTCTATCCATCTCTTTTTAGGTCTTCCCACGCTTCTTTTTGTTTCTCGAGGTCTCCAGAATGTCACTTTATGAGACCATCTGTTGGTGTCTTGTCTTGCTACATGTGCTACCCATTGCCATCTCAATGTCGCTATTTTTTTCATGATGTCGGTTACTTTAGTTCTTTGACGTATTTCGGTGTTAGGAATTTTGTCTCTGAGGCTTATATTTAACATGGCCCTCTCCATGGCCCGTTGAGCTACTCTTAATTGTTTTGCCATTTTTCTTGTTATTGCCATAGTTTCCAATCCATAAGTTGCAACTCGTAGTATACAAGTGTCATAGGTTTTTCGTTTTAAGTGAATTGGGATTTTTCTGTCTTTTAAAATGAAGCTCAACTTACCAAAAGCAGCCCATGATATTTGTGTCCTTCTTTTAATTTCTAGGGTTTGATTTTCCTTTTCGTTTTTAATTGCATGTCCTAGATATAATATATTGTTCTAACCTTTTCTATATTGATGTTATCTATCGTGATGTTTTCTAGGCTGTTGCTTAATATCTTTGTTTTGTCGAGATTCATTTTTAATCCTATTTGATTCGATTTGTGATTTAAATCTTGTAGCATTGATTTTAGTTCATGGATATCTGTGCTTATTAGTACTATGTCGTCTGCAAAACGCAAATGGTTAAGATATTTTCCATCTATTTTTAATCCATTTTCGGCCCAATTTAGTTGTTTGAAAACATTTTCTAATGCCAAAGTAAATAACTTGGGTGAGATGGTGTCGCCCTGTCTCACACCTTTGCCAAGGTCTATATTTCTAGTTTCCAGATCATCATCTATTTTTACGTGAAAAGTAGCATCATCGTATATATTCTTAAGGAGGGCAGCATATCTTGAATCTACTCTGGCGTCGTCCAATGCTGTTAAGAAAGCCCAATTCTCGATACTGTCGAATGCTTTGTGATAATCGACAAATGTCAGATGTAGTGATATGTTGTACTCTATTGTTTTTTCAATAATGGTCCGAATTGTTTGTAAGTGATCGATAGTGCTAAAACCCTTACGAAAGCCTGCTTGCTCCACTGGTTGGTATGCATCTAGTTTAGCTGTCAATCTATTTGTTATTATTCGGGTTAGTAGTTTGTAAAGGTGTGACAATAAGCTTATTGGTCGGTAGTTTTCTATATTTGCGGCGTCCCCTTTTTTATGAAGTAGAATGACTTCCGCATTTTTCCA